GGCGGCTATGGCTATGGCGCACAAATAAAATTCACTCAGGTGCGAGAGCAACCCCGCTGCCGCCTCCTGCACAATCTCGTCATTGCTCCCCAGCAGGCCCACCAGCCTCTCAAGGCTGCCCTGCACTGTGAGTAAAGTACGGAAGTCACACTTGGCAACATTCTCAAGCAGAAAAAGTGCCGCCCACTGCACAACCTCGCTCAATCCTCCCAACAACTCCACCAGCATTTCCAGGACCGCCCTTCGATCAACTTCGTCCGTCTCTACAATTGTTTTCAAAACCAACGCTGCCCGTTTATGCGCGCCTTTGCCTTTGCTCTTGAGCAGATTCTCCAGCATCTGCAGCCTCCTCGATTTTATAGCCGCAACTATGATCCCTTTTATCCTCCTCCTCTCAGCAAAATCCTGCAAAAGAAGCAAAATCAAAATGTTTAACTGTTGAGAGCTTCCCAGACCAGGACAAAGAGTTAACTTGGAAAACACTTTGAGTATGTACCCAGCAATAAACAGGAACATGATAATACAGCTCAAAAGAAACAAGATGTCGGAAACATGATATGATGCTTCATGACTTTAGACGTTCAGATTGCACTCGAATTGGAGGGACCTTTGGACACGACTTCAGCAACCGCCAACAGTGCAGAGCGGCTTCCAAGAAACCGAATATTTAAATGATGGCATTCTGCAACAATGAGATATAAGCTTCAGGTTACACAGGCACCTGAATCTTACCTCTACGAGGCGGCCTCCCAGGATGTGCACAAAGACATCATCTGCCGCAGCTGATGCTCCGATGTACTGTGGTCTCAGCTTCTCTTCTGTCTGCATCCATGGAGGTGGTGAGTAGCAAACCTTCTTATTTATTCTTCCTGTGACTTCAAAACTGAAGGGGCCTCTCAGATGTTTTGCTTCGATTCCAGTTTCTGACACTGCTTTTCTCTTGGAATCTTCAACCCGCTTCATGATTCCCCGAGGTACATTTAGCAACTTGTTACCAGGAAGTCCGTGCGCCTCAACCCTAACATAGTGTCCACTTTGCCAACCATCCATGGCTTTCGGACTACAAAATAGCAGATTGCTCGTCCGATGAAATTTTGTGAGATAGGCGTAGGGACGCAAAACCTTCACACACGTCCCTTAATAAAGGCTGTCGTTGCTCTAAACAGTCTGCTCTAAGCTGATTGCAAGTCATGAGATGTCTACAGCCATCGAGGATGTGACCTTGTAACGATCTGTCCCGCTTCCCTGTGAGGGCTTCTGCCACCGCTGATTGTGCTACCTCTGAATGTTTCCCTAACCATCTTGCTCTTGCAGCCGTGTGACAAAAATTAAAACATGTTTGGGCCTTTTTTCTTTTTCTTTTTTTTCCCGGGCACCATTTGGCACACCGGTAGAGCAGGTAGGTGCACCCTGCATGCCAACTACGCCCAGGGATTTGAACCCCGGCCACCTTCTCTTCGAGGAAGTCGCAACCCCTCTACCTATTTTTTCGGCTTCCTCGGGTCTCGTCCCCGGGGGCGGTTCATTGGGAAACCAGACCCACCCGGGCGTCCACCTGAGGAGTTACAGCCTGGGGCATCCATTTTCCTGGACTACTATCTGGCTGGGCAGGACAGCTCTCGCGACAAACGGATCCCCAAAACAGTGGCCTTGCCGGGAATTGAACCGAGACGCCTGTGGCGCTACCTGCGTCATGCTGACGACTACGCAAAAGCGAGCGCGCTACGGTCGCTACGGGGGCTACCGAAACAAAAAATCATGCTGCCAGCTAATACCCGGCGCGTCGGACGACCCGACATTCCATGAATGCCGGGTTTGCTGACAACTACGCAAAAGCGAGCGCGCTGCCGGCGCTACCGGCGCTACCGGCGCTACCAGAAAACCTCGGATCATGCTGCCAGCTAGTACCCGGCCCATCGGACGACCCGACGACATTTCAGCTAATACCCGGCCCATCGGACGACCCGACGACATTTCAGGAATGCTTTGCTTCATTTCAGGAATGCAGGATTTCGTGAGTTCCTGCCCCAGGGAAACTGAGGAGCAGGCGACGGGGTATACTCCTCTTAAAAAAGAGGAGGAGTAAGAGTTCCCCTAAGGACGCTCCCATGGAGGACTACTGCTCACATGAAAGTCTGCATGGGCTAAAAACGATGGAGATGCTCCAAAGTGATCAGCATTATAAAAGCAGAACAGCCAGAGAATGTTTCATTTCCTTCAGCTCCTTAGGGCTTCGCCATGCCCAATCTCTAGATTCATCAGAGTTCTACTGCGCTTCTCTCGGCGGGCTGCTGGACAGTTGGTCTACATCGAGCTGGCTGAACGATGCCGCGAAGTTCAAGTGTCCCAATGGCGGACGACAACATGGCGGATGCCCAGGAAGTATCCGTAGTGCAGCTAAGCGTTCTTCTGTTGCAGTTTTTTCATTCATTGTTTGGGGAGCAAGCGCATATTCTGGAGTTCTACGCATCGGCCTTGGCAGACGACATCACCAAGGCAACAAGCGAAGGGTTTGTCTACTGAATCCTCTCCTGATTGCAGCATTTGTATGTTCCGAATTGTGTTTGCGAGCATGTACTGCTGAAAGTTTGGGCACAAAGTATCCCTTTGATCAGAAGTGGGACTTTGGCAATGTTCAGGAGTCAGCCTAAACTTGGCTATGGTTTGCGCAAGTTCGATTCAAACTCGGGTTGCGCCAACAGCAAGACATGGCTGCCCCGCTGTATTCGCTGCAGAGACTTCAAGGTGACCGACAGCCAGGGAAAGAGATTGCCAGCCTCTGCAATCTTCACAAAGAAAGTTAGCAACAACAAGTCAGTGGAGATCATTCTCGTGGGAATGTTTGAGGCGTACAACAAGTATGCCAAAGACAAGGGATTGGAGCAGGTAGGTTTTTGCGAGCTGGATACAGGCATGTAGGAATAACATATTTTGCTTTTCATCAGACACTGGTCAGAAAGTGCTATGCAGCCGACTTCTGCAGCATACAGCCCATATTCTTATACGCACACCAAAATTTACCAATTTATCAGTACAGCGCCTTTCTCATGTTATTCTGGGCACTGAAACTTCTGTTTGTTCCTACATGTTTTACCCTGCTGTTCAGCAGCTTCAACAAGCTTCTTCGTACAGGATGGTGGTCAGAATGCTTCCAGGCACACAGTGTCTCAAGGGGCACTACACTAGCACTCTAAAGCCAGACAAGATCTCCAATTTTTATCGCAGACAAATTTTTATTCATGCGATAAGATGATTCTCAACTGACTTTGCAACCAGAATTCAATCAATGATCTGATACAATCCCCCCTTACCGTCTTGCCACCCCATGTCTGATTGGTGCTCATTTTTGCAGCTGTACTGGTCGGACTTTGGGGCAAAGCGTGGACAGAACCTTAAGCGCAGCCTGATGATGTCCAAATTGGACGTCTTCTTTGACTGGTATGCTGAAGACTCCGAGCTTCGCAAGTTTACCTGGGATCGCCTGATTGACCACTTGCGGACACATCGCACTGTGGAGTGCAACTTGGGCACCCGAGCTCGCCTCAATGCTATTTTCTCACACATGGCGAACGACCCAGACGCTCTCCCCCAGCTTGACGACAGTTCCAGCAGCGCCCCAGCCAACATGGCCGTAAACGCTTCAAACAGTGTGAGCTGCTGTCTTTCTTTATTGTAATCTACCAATAATTCTATTATGAGTATCCTTCGTCTAATACACTAAAGGAGAAGGCAAATAAGGAAGTACGGCAATCTGTTTCAAGAATGTGTTTAGCAGGTTTTTCCGGTTGAATTCAGGGTACTCATGCCCAGCTAAGAAGAGCAAGGCCTACTCTGGCACCTCAAAGAGTCGGAGTCCTCAATTTCTTCTATCATTGCCCACTAGAGTTCTCTTTGGTTGCTTAATTTTGCGCAGGGTCTCAGACACCACTTTGTTCTTGTGCAGATGGTGGACTTGAACGTCAGTGAAACCGGCATTCCCATGGCCGACCTTGAAGCGCTTGAGCCCATTTCAAGGGTGGAAATTTCCACCCAGACTTACCCGGAAAACCGGACTCTACTGGGCTCATTCTCTGCCCACGCGCCGGTAAGAGCGCATAATAGCGCATTTTGGTCCATCAAGCTTCTCATGCTCGGAGCCTTGTCGGCAAGCAGGGGCAGGAGTATCGGATGCCTCTAGCAAGTTGTCTTTTAGCATTCTATCTCACAATTAGCCATCGTTCGGGAAAGGGACGACGGAAGGGACCCAACCTACGGGGACGGTAGAGGACCTTNCTNTNGGNGATANA